CTATACAGGAGAGGAACCCAGTCAGGGAAACAAAATCTTTTCTGATGAGCAGTGACCATATCTGCTGGTTCTGGAGCGGGACACTGCATCTTCTTCCTAGGCTATTTGTTATATAGACATCATTGAATGGGGTCCAGAACAAAGAACAGTTAGAGCCACGCTTTGTAAGATGTTCAGGAATGTAAGAGACTCATAGAGTACTACCTGTCAGCCACATCCATCCATCCCTTATTTCTGTGCTATCATCATTGATGGAGGATTTTCCCACGAGGATTCTGCAATGGAATGGATTAGCTTCACTAGTGAGTTCTGACTAAATCGGACTCAGTCTGTCTCATAAAACATTTAATTTAGGTTACTGTCAGTAGGATTCCAAGCAGCAAGATGAGTGCACTTTTTAGTTTAACATCAACCATGTCCTTCAATGTCTCACATCCAATCAGTGTACGACATAACCATGACCACAGGGGCTCTGGCTTTCTCTTGAATTTTCTCTTCTTACCTTTCCACTTAGCCCAAACCATTAATTCATATACTCCTGAACATGTTAGCATTTGCAGACCTTGTCATGTGTGTCTTGTGTGTAAGATAGTATACTGGAATCTATCCAGGCCCTCCTACATGCCAAACACTGTACCACTGTACTACATCCCCAAGCCCTTTTTATTTTATTTTGAGACAGGATCTTAGAATGTTGCCTAAGCTGACTTTGAACTTGTAATCCTGCCTCAGCCTCCCAGGTAGCTGGAATTGCAGATACGGGCTGCTAGACATGACTCTAGACTTTATCTTAATCTAGAAGTTGGAAATTGAGAGCAATTTTTTATCAACAACTCTGTCCTGACTTCAGTCACTTAGGGGCTGAAGTGTTATTAGTGACTATTTAAGTTAAAGTCAGATGACAAATTTTGTATTGTGTTTGCAAATTAAAGACGCTTTTTAGTAGAGTTACTTGCCACCAGGTATGCAAACATTGAGTCACTTATTCCTCTAGGAAACTTATGTGAATTACCAAGCATAATCCTTCATTTTGAAGAGATTTTTGTAGTCATTTGAGGGTACATTATCTGGTAGCATTTTCTTAAATATTTGAAAGTCTTTTACAGCTACTTCTAATATTAAGTCACTGTGGTTGAGGGAGAAAAGTAAGTTAATACCTGCTTTCACAAGAGAAGTCCAGTTTCAAGGTTATATATGCTGGCTCTGAAAGAGCCGTTGTTCATGATTTTGAGAGCTTTGTACATTAGTCTAAAAGCATATGTTGTCATTGCCTCAAACATAGCCTAACATCAGCAGATGTATCTTCAAGTTCATGCCATATTTCCCCAAAAGCAAGACTTAGCTTGAAAAGAATCAGCCTTGAAAACGAGAGATCAAAAATGCTAGGCCCAGTCACACTATCCTTGCTTTACCTGCCGTACAGAGTAGCCACCAAGCAAAAGAATAGTGATGATTGATTGATGGTTGATTCTAGTCTTTGGTTTTGGATAGAACTGCTTATGGGGAGTCATTCCAGCCTGTCTGCCCACACCACCAACTGGGAGGCATTCAGTTGCCTTATGCAATATTTGAGGCTACAGAAAGCAGGAAGATGGCCAGATGGCTTGACAGTTATTTTACATGGAAAGGTTAGGAGCTAGAGCCAAGGCCATTACTGATAAACTTCTCACTAAGGTTAAAGGGAAAAGCAGTTAACTTGTGCTTAGCATTAGTTGTGTGGTGGAGGGTGACACATCCAGCAGTTAATAAAATTTAATGTGGTTGCAACTGTTTGGAAGAACCATAGAAGAAAGTTTTCTTTGGTGGGAAAGGTCGTAATAATACAGTAGAGATCATTACCATTCCTCCTTCCATTGCTCCTCTCAGGACCCACGCTGTTCCTTTCCAGGTGCCAACGTTGTTCTCCATCCACCTCCACGCGATCAGTGTCTCCATCTTAGTAGTTGTGGCTTCTTTACTTTCCTCCCGTACTGTTGTCACTTCAGCCAGGCCTTTTGTCTGGAAGGTTTAGGTCAGAGTTAGACAAGACAGTCTTGTCCTATGTGGGCCACCTGAGGAAGACTCAAACAAGTGGTCATTACCTTATCATGACGTAGGGCAAGGCAGTTCTCCAAGGAACTCCTGGTGACTGAGTAACACTGAATCTGCTAAGCACCTTTCAGCTAGAGTGTGCCGGAGAATGTCAGGAAGGCTGCCTGAGGTTGTCATTGGGGGAAAAGAGAAGCTATACACCAGGAATGGCCAGGACAGAATTTCAAATTTTCAAAATAGGTCAAAGCTTTTGTGCATGTATTATTTTATTAAACATTTTATTAAAAATACAGTATACCACTATACAAAAAGAACATTGATCTCTGTCTCACCCAATGCACAAAAATTAATTTGAGATTATCATAGGCTGCAAACATAAATCTTCTAGAGGAAAACATAGAAAATCTTTGTCACTTTGAAGTAACAAAGTTTTTTTTGTACTGGGGGTCGAACTCACGACCTCACAGGCAGGTGCTTGTGCTATAGAGCTAAATCCCTGACCCAGGAAGAGATTTCTTATAGGGGCCCTAAAAAGCATGAATTGTAAAAGAAAAAAAATGATCAATTATTGGACTTCGTCAAAAACTTAAATTTCTGGTCATCAAAACAATTAAGAAAATAAATTTCAGCCAGGCGTGGTAGTACACATTTGTAATCCCAGCACTCAGGCAGGAGGATTGCCATGAGTTTGAGGCCAGCCTGGGCTGCATAAAAAGTTCAAGGACAGCCTGAACTATATAGCAAGACCCTACCTCAAAAAAACAAAACAAAGCAACACTTTAGGAAAAAGTATGACTGTAAGTGACAAAAGATAGGGGAAAAAAATCAGCTTATTTAAAAATAGACAGAAATCTTGGATAGACATGTTTATAACCAAGGCAGATGAAAAGTGCTCGACATCATTGGTCATCAAGGAAATGCAAGTCAGTGTCACAGAGAGAGACACAACATAGCCATAAGGACAGCTGAAATGGGAAGGAAAGAGACCACAGCAAATAGTGGAAAGAATACAGAGCCACCAGAACTTTCACTTGTTGCTGTTGGGAATGTAAAATGGTGTAACTGTTTTGGAAATTGTCAGTTTGCTAAAATGTTAAACATTTTGCAGTTTTTTTTTTTCTCAGCTATTAATCCAAAAGAAATGAAAATGTGTCCACAAAAAAATTTATAGAGGAATATCCATAGTAGTTGTATTCTGAATCACCTGAAAATGGGAGGTGCCCGTGTCTGGCAACAGGGGAGCAAGCAAATGTATATTCATACAACAACGTACTACTCAACAGAAAAAGAAGCCAGCTAAATAACATGGATAAATCTCATAACCACTGTTGAATGAAAAAGACAGGCACAAGAAGTAATATAATATTATTACATTTTTATGAAATTCTAGAATAAACAAAACCAAAGTGGTGACAGAAATCAAATCAGTCACTGCTTTGGGGACAGAGGTTGGCTGGGAAGGAGCACAGGGGAGCTTTTTGGAAATTTTCTGAGTCTTGCTAAGGGTGTGAACTATACAAGTGTATGCACATGTAGATTGGTGCACTTATGAGATAAGCATTTTGCTGTGTGTAAAATATGCTTCACATTAAAATAGATTGATATTTTAGCTCTTTATTAATAGGAGGATACATTTAGAGTAGATACAATAAAATGAAATAAATCAGACACGCATGTGTAAATACAGTCTTGTTTCACTGGTGTTAAGAAACTGAAAGAGTTAGCTGTTGGTGCAACCATCCCAGCACTCGGGAGGTTGAGGCAGGATTGTTGCAAGTTTGAGACCAGCCTGCGCTACAAAGTTCAAGGCCAGCCTGAACTGCATAGCGAGACCCTGTCTCAAGAAAAGACCAAAAACAAGTAAATAAGATCCAGAAGGTACAATAGTAAAAGGGAAAGAAACTGCTCAAAGGGAAATTATATTGTTTGATCAGTCTTGCAGGCCCGAATCTGGTAACTTGAGCAACAATTTCAAAGATAACAATATGCACTATAACAACCATTGTTAAATTCCTGTTGTCTTGTTTTGAAGTGCTGTATCGCTATTGTTTTTGTTGTTGTTGTTGTCATTTTGCTTTTGTTGTTTTTTATTGTTTGCTTGTTGATTTTTCTGTTTTTTTCTCTTTAAAATTAAAAAAATGGTCAGGTTAAGGAATCTTTATATTGCTTCTTCAAAATAGGGCTTTAATAGAGACAGTGCTAAATTTAGCTTGAGTTTTTTTCAGTTGTGTAGTCTAGGAACTATTTTTAGGATTTTGGCAGAGTTCAGTAGTTTTTATAAAGATGGAAAAGGTAATCTTATAGGTATTAGGTGGAATTGGACCTCCAAAACCTCACAAGCCAAGTCTGTGCCTCGGGTTACCATACACCAGAGCAGTGTACCATTTTGCCTACCAGCACAGCTACCAGTGTCCATAAACATTCTGATGATTGTGATTGAAGGAAGGAATATCATGTTACTGGCATCTATTGGGTTGAGGCTGCTAAACATCCTATAAAGCACAGGAGAGCACACCCACCTCCTGCCAAAACAAAGAATTTTTTGATGCAAACTGTCTCAGTGCCAAAATTAGGAAACCTTGTTCCAGACCTGCCCTTATCACTGAAGCTGAGTCAGTCTCAATCAGGTGTTGACTAGTCATAGTCTAAATCGATTGTGCAAACTTGGCATTTTTACAAGTTGCATATTTCTTCCCTGACAGAGTTTATATCAAATATTTATAAACATGTATAACCTTAAAATCGGAGATGAAAGTTCATGCATCAAGAGCACTTCCAAAATCAAAATTATGTGTATCATAAAGGTTGAATATTAATTTAAGGCACTGTAAGTTTTTTTTAAAAAACTTTATTTCATTAAATATTCAAACAAATGACTTTAGTTATGTTTGTTGAAAAAAGGGGAGGGGCGGCTTTGTTAACAGAAGAAAAAAATGATAATAATTTATCTTTTTTTCCTTCTTCCACAGAATGACAGGCAGAGAGTTCTTCTCTAGATTCCCGGAACTCTATCCCTTTCTTCTCAAACAGTTGGAAGCCGTAGCTGATACAGTGGACAGGTGAGAAGAGTATAGGGTGGGGCAAAGTGAAGGCGAAGGTGTGTAGTACTTTATTAGTCAAGATTTCTCTTCTAGGCAACAGTTTTTAATCAGTTTCTGTCTGGTAACAGATGACTTTTAAAAATAGTGCTTTTACAATTAGACCACATTGCTTGACTTTGTGCCTTAGATTTGTACCTGGAAAATTATGTAAAGTCTCATTTTTTTGTTAGATTTTTGAAAATACTGTTTTATATTAAATTATTTTATCTAATTTAATTCAGTTTTCAATGTTGCATGAAACTAGCTTCTTACAAACGCATAATTTTTTCTGTTAAGAATTACTTTCTTCCTCTTATTTTTTAAAAGTGTGTGCTTAGAAATTGAGTTTGCTTAATGGATATCTGTCACTTTTTATTACTGAACTGGTGCAGTTTATTTATCATTGTGAAATTGTTATAGTAGCTGACTAATCTAGTCTCCTGTGATCATAATGATCATTGTCTACCTGAGCAGAAATAGCCAGTGACCTTGGAAATAGAGTCATTAGGAGGGCTTTCAGTTCACCCTTTTGATCTATACATAGTAATGAAATTTTCAGTATAGATGTCTTAGAGCTTTTGTGTCCTTCCCAGCAATTTTTGCACTTGGTGTAAATGTATGTAGATTATCTATAATGGAAAAATAAAACTGTATCAATGAATTTTACTTTTGTTTATGATACATTTCCTCACAATAGTTTGTGCAGATGGGCTTTTGGCCCTGCCATTTGATGGCCTGTTCTGCTTCCTTAAATACATTTGGACATTGAAAGTTTCACATTTCATGTCTGGAACAGCAGGCTCTACTTAAGCAAATCATTAGCTTTGAGAAGAGGATGTGAGTGCAATAGAAAAATCCCCCAGCTTTGCCAGGAATTTTTCCTCACTGTGCACATTAAGAAGATACGAAGTGAACAGAGAAAAAATGAAAAAAGGAAAACTATCCCTTTGATCACTTAGAGTCTCAATTCATATACCCAATTATTTTAATCAGAAAAAAATCTTTGAAGATAGTGCTTTACTTCTAAAATCTTAAATCTTTCATGTACAATAACTTTTTCAGTGACACAGGCGAGCCAGATCGTCATCCAAGCATGTTCCTCCTGCTTTTGGTTTTGGAGAGACTCTACCCTTCCCCGATGGATGGCGCTTCTTCTGCTCTCAGCATGGCACCTTTCGTCCCCTTTATTATGAGGTAATGTTAAACTAATGGACACAGCAAGTTAGACTGGGGACTTCATAGGGATATTTTATCTTGTTCTATTTCAGACATTATAATGGATTTCTTTTTAAATACTTTGGGGTAGGGTCATATGAAGGCAGGGACGCGAGGCTTTTTGCCATTGACCCTGACTGGCCTCAAATGTTTCAAGGAAGGTGATTATGTTGAGAGTGTAGGAAACCTACATCTAAGAAATGTTTTCCCTGGAGATCTGCCTCCTGCTGGGTGTATAGTGCTGATAGGAGATAACTCCATTTGAAAAAACTTATCTATGTTATCCCTGTGTTGCCTGGCCACATTGGAGCAGGTTGGTCCTGGCGTATATCCCTGTCCAAAAGTTCACAAGGACCTCAAAACACTGGTCTTCACTCTGGAGGAGTCTGCCAAGCTGTGTGTGGGGTGGTTGTTGCTAGCAATGCTATGTGGCCTGAGTGCCTGCTCATCTTCTCTGCTAAGTTGGAGTGTCTGAAAAAGAGCAGTGAACGTACAGTATGTATGGGATACAATGATGCCAGGCTTTCTTGCTTTTAAAGCCTATTACCTGTGTTACATTTTTTAAGGCATCTGTGACCTTCTAACTGTCTTTCTCTTGTTGGATCAAATGCTTTAATAAGTAGGCCTCCAAAAGTGTGTAGATTTTCTTATGAAACATTTCAGAAGCCTGTTGTGTTAAGATTCTGCCTACCTTTTGACAAGACAGCACCTTGTTTTAATCTTGCATCCCAAGATTGGACAAGACTTGCAGCAGAAGGCTAAGAATACCAAATTCAAGAGTGTGTGTTTGTTATTTGTGTGGTGCTCTGGATTCCACTTCCTGGTTTCACAGAGCTGACTTATGCATTTTAATGTGAGAAACCACTAAACACAAGATTCTGACATGTGATTGCTGTGGCCGTTTGTTTGTGCCAAGCCCTGACTGTGACTATGTTATCTTTGATCACAGCAGTGACTCACTCAGACTGGTTTTTGTTTCCTGATACTCAGTTACCAGTCCCCCTCATCCAGCATTTTGTGATTCATTTTAGGAATTTAGGTGGTAAATTTTACTTTCAAGGTCCTTGAAAGTATTCTCTTTCATAAATACGTAGGAAAAACTTTAGAAACCTTTTCAGAAAGTTGGTTCAAGAGGAACAGTCACATGCAGAGAATCTCTGTGTACCTTAGAGACAAAATATGTGGTAGAACTTCATCGTCTGTGTAGAAAGCACTCAAAATTTGTAGAAGGCTTTTACTAATCAATCTCTTATGAGTTGCATCTTAGAGGCCAAAAGTCACTACATTGAAAATAGCCATCCAAACATACATATTACTTAAATAATCAAGGTACCAACTATATATAACACATTGCACTAAAATAGATTTAAATACTGCTTTGAAGGCAGTGTACCTAGCACATTGCTTTTTAAACTCAAATTTCAAAGCAGTTTGCAGTCATCCTGTCCTTCAGTGAAAATGTCGTGACTGTTATTTTCTGGCTGAGGAGAGATTTGCAGAGCACCATCAACAGCAGAACTGCTGCAATTAATTCCTTAGTTAAGATGGTCAGTAGGTGGCAATTTATTCAGGATCCCTCCTGTCTTTCAGGAGCTATTCCTATTCCCCATTCCTATTCTCTATACTTAGTCCCCATTTCTATTCTCCAATAAACTTTCCTACTCTTTAAAAAAAAAAAAAATAGAGGGTCAGTAGGCTCTGGCCATTGAGTGTTTGTGTGTCATGGAATGGTGTTATCTCAAACTTCAGGATATAAACCAGCCATTGGGTCCCTAGTGAGTTCTGATCCATTGGGTTCCAGGTGGCTGGTGAGTTGGCCTTCCACAAATAGGTGATGCCATGCTGTAGGTTTGTGGCCATGTTGTAGCCAGGATCAAATTTGGATAGTAACACCCACAGAGCCTCACAGCCAAATAAGACTGTAGGATCATGCTTGAGTTTTAGCAGGCTAGGCTGTTTAAGGTATTTATAAGTAAATTTGGCTCAGAAGTGCAGAAGATGGGCAAAAAGTTTGTTCTGAGCAGAGAGATCAGTAAAAAGTAGACAATCATGATTGAGCCTGCGTTTTTGGACATTTTGTTTACCATAACTTCAAAAAGTGATACTATCACTTCCTTTTTTCCATTGAAGAAATTGAGGTTCATGAAGAAAGCAAAGCAGTTACAGGTCTAAAATTTGAACTCAAGAATTCAGGGCTTTATGAGAGATATGTACTTTCTACTACACCAAAATTATTGGTTCCCCTTTGTGTCCTTAAGCAATTCAACCACATTGAATGTACCTGTGAAGCCTGAAAATTCTGCAACTAAGAGAAATGAGGAGCCTGTATCCATAATCACTGTTTCTCAGTGTAGATTATGTTCAGAATATAGAACCAATGTCCCCACTGTTGGTGGGGTCTGCTTCTTGCTTTGCTTTTCCAGTAGTAAAGGTTGTCTGTAGATTGATCACCTCTATGTGATCAGAAACACAGTTGTAAGAAAATTGCTTGGGTCATGAGGTTGGTCCATAGTCAGAGCCAAAAGAAGGCTAGCTCTTCTTGACCATCTTCTATGACAAAGTAGAAAGAGCCTACACTCAGAAAACCCAGTTTTGAGCTTCATTAGTTTACCACAGGGACAAACCATAGTATCCCAAATGTTCACTGGGGGGTGAACTTTAAACAGATTTAAAAAAAAAAAATAGTAAATGTGATTTTAAAAAAGTGCACATTTGATTGAGTGACTTTTGAGAACAGTAAGAAAGTGAAATTGATCATAAAACTTGTTATTCTAAGCAGTTTTTGTGATTCTGGTCGGTGAGGGTTGGGCTATAAAAACCGAAAAGACTTGATGTAAAAACTAAAAGATGGATATATGCTCAGTAGATGGATGGTGTTTGATCTTGGTATCATCATTAACATATGTATTTGGAAAACTTCTAATCAGATTCAAAGACACTCTTAAGTATAGCTAAAGAAAAACATCCAGCTGATGGGAATATGTGACGGTCGCTAAAGGAAATTGTGCTAAAGTGAGTTACATGATGCAAAGAAGGTTAAAAGTACCAACATCAGTTTTTCATTTCCTTTTTATTTGTGTATGTTTACCTGCCGTGTCTTTCCTCTCTGTATGTATAGTATTATTTTATTTTTATTCCTTTATTCCATATTTAAGGTTATACCCAAGCTTATTTCTCTATTGATTTTATTTCTTAACATAAGTCTTAGAAGTTACTAATCTGGATTTTCCAGTTTTGTGTGTGCACATGTGCAGTTGTGAGTGTTGTATAACAGTGATGGTGGAATAAAAATGATAGTAATCTCCATCTTTTGTTTATGTTTTTTTAAATCCAGTGTATTTTATGTGCCTAATATTGTACTGGATCCAGATACACAGCCATTTACCATATTAATGTGATGCCTTCAACTTAAGCCTATTTGCCCTCCAGTTGAAATACCACAAAACAGAGTAATCCATGTTTTAAAAAGAGCTCTGGCTCTCTGACTGTATTTTAGCAGAGCCCACATGTCCAGGCCTTTCTAGAAACTAGAAGTCTTAGACACCAAAATGTCTCTGTTCATGAATCTCTGAATTCTTTTTCACAGGCAAGTTTCAAGTTTTAATTGAAGAACTGTAGGAGAATATATATATATCCCAAACCTAGGACTTCGGACTCCCACACAGAGACCCACTACTCAAAGGACTCAGTTCCATCCAGGCTCTGCCACTTAGTAGTGACAATAGTAACTTTGGACCAGACTTTTATCTTCTCCTGATCAATATAAGGATTTGTGATCACTTGAGGAAAAACTAAGATCTCAGCTTCTGATTAACATCTTAAGGGGAAATCCCTGCACTGTATTTCATTTGCTTTTTTAGGTAAAAGGCCCCTCTTTATCTTAACTCTTACTCTATGCCCTCTTTTGCTTATTTTCATTGCAAATGACAAGTTTTCAGTGAAATTGGTTCTTTTTTTTCTCTGACAAATATTAAAGTACAAATAACAATGCTGTCTTAAACACATGGCAGTAGAAATATATCATAGAACCTTTGTACCATTCTTTTTTTTTTTTTTTAAATCGGTATCAGGATTGAAGTCACGACCACATGCTTGCAAGGCAGGCGCTTATGCCACTGAGTTAAATCCCCAGCCTCCTTTGTACCATTCTTATACCCGATTGTACCTGTCTTAAAATAGAAGAGACTGGAAATCCCCAAACTAAGAGTTGGCCCTCTTAAGTCTGTGACACTGGGAAATGTACTGACTCTTGTTTTATTTTCCTCAAAAGTTATATACTCAAGGATTATCACTTTGCTCTTTACCCAGATTAGGAAGTGAAATAGCTTCATTTCCATGGTGGTGGGTTGTGGGTTTTGTAGTAGTTGGTTGAAACTGTAACCTGGGTACCTATCCTTCAATGATGCACATCGCATTTCTGTCTGCCCTGTCTTCCCAGAATCTTTCCAGATGATTGGAAGGCAAGATTTTCTTTACAGAGAGATAAAGGAGGCAGAAATGGTATCAAGACTGCTCGTGTTAATATTATACTCCCTTCCATCTCTCTCTCAATTCCTGGTCACCTCCCAAGGCCAGACTTTGTGCTGAGCGGATCTGTATATCTCTGATGTACTCCAAAGGACTGCTAGATCTATAATATTAGAGGCATATTTTGTGTCCCACAAGGTACTGGTTATGCTTAAAAGAGACTTGAATGGATTTTATGTTTTGGGGGGTCTTTAAGGAGTCTATATTCTAATATGAGCTCTGACATGATTTATATTTGACTTTACCTATCTGATCTGGTAAGTCTGTGATCTGAGACCTTCCCGAACTGTGAACCCCTCTCCTCTGACCACTTTCCAGGGAGCAGTGTGGAGGCCTACTTTGCAATATCCGGATATAGGCTTTGAGCCATATTAGGAGCCTGAATGGACAGGAATAGAAGAAGGAGGCATGCGGAGCAGCTGAGCCACAGGCAAGCCATGTGAACAAATTGG